AAAAAGGGCTTTTTGGGGTGCTGTCCTTACAGCAGAGATCAGATGAGTCCTTCAGGACTGTAGTGGACACTGAATACACTAGCCTAGCTATCAATTTCCCTATCAAATCAGCAGCAGCTACACTGTCCCTCCTCTCACTAAGAATGCAGCTTCACAATGAATGTAAAATGGATGCTGTCCAGGAGGTGGGAGGGTCTGGGAGGGAGGGTCTGCTGCTGATTGGCTGGAATGTGTCTGCTGACTGTGAGGTACAGGGTCAAAGTTTACTCAATGATGATGAATAGGAGGCGGACCGAACAGCGCATATGTTCGCCATCCGTGGCGAATGCGAACAAGCGTTGTTCGCCAGGAACTATTTGCCGGCAAACCGTTCGGGACATCACTGCTTGTACGCTTAAGAGATGTATTCAACAGATGATTGAAAAAGCTGAAAATCGAAAGCTCGCACTCCTCTTAAAGGGAAAACCTGGGACATAGAACAAAAGGGGGAAATCGAGCTGAAGAAATAACGAAAATCTAAGAGACGTGATTAGCACGTCTGAAAATACCTCCTTTTCTCTCTCTGCCACAGGCCTCCCATGGATATTTTTCGTAAAGTAGATCATGATATGATCTAAGAGGGGATTGAAGGATATAATATCCATTTCCCCAGAGATTGATCGGGAGCCTGTGTTCTAGGAACTTTGAAGCCTTCCTTCTTCTTGCTTCCCCTAAGGGAGGGTGAGATACTTGGATCCTTTGTCTATGAACGCTCTTAAGGCCGCAAAGGGCATTGACGATAGGTGAATAGAAGGATAATGAGTGGCCCTCTAAACAAATTATTGATTATCATGGTGAAGGATAGAATATCCATTTGACTATCTACTCTTGCTGTTTATATTATAAGGGCAATTTGAAACTTTATGGGTAACTTGAAACAGTTGTTCAGTTGTTTAATTTCTCAAAAAACATTACCACTTATGTCAAATGTTCTTGTTTTTGGTATTTGTAGTATTTTGTGTAAATCAACATATTTGTGTAAATCAACATAGTTGTTCTCTATCACGAGTAGCTGCTTCTTGTTGCATGCTGTTACACCCCATAGCTTGATAAAGTATGTATGAGTAAAGCTTGTGAACAATAAAATGTTGAACTTGTTTGATAAATAGTGATAATTCCCATATGATCAGTTACACTTGCTGTTGATTAAAACATCAGGAATTATAACAGCATAACTATTTTTGTTGTCTGGGATTTTCAGACAAGGTTGCAGAGTTAGAAACAAACAATTCCAAGGAATTGAGAAGTCATTTTTTTTTTTTTATACCAAATTATGAACAACTTTATTACATACAGCCATAAAGAGAAAGACATGGCTTTTAACAACATTCATTGCAGTACAATGCAGCACATATTTTTATAATATATTCTAACTAGTTTATACTTTTACATAAACAGAGTTAAAATGATACTCCCCCACACCCCTAGAAAATCTTTTAATATAAAAAAAATATTACATAAGGTCAACAGGTTGTTACACATCTTGTGCTACTCTAAATGTTCTGCAAAAATAAATATTTATAAAAGTATATGTAAGATAAATCAGGGCAACATAAAATTGTAAATAAACAGGATCTCTGATAACTTTTAATCTAAAATTGTTGAAAGGTTTATTTAAATGAAATGTTAAAAACACATTTACAGTTTTAAATGTGACTAAAAGATATTAAATTATGTGTTTAGAAGCCAGCCCAATGCATAAGTATTTTACTATTTAAAGTGCACATCCCCTGCACATAATGACCTTGATTACTCAGGTACAGACTTCAGTCTATTGCAATGGCAGAAGAATTAAAGGACCACTATAGGCACCCAGACCACTTCAGCTTAATGAAGTGGTCTGAGTGCCAGGTCCAGCTAGGGTTAACCCTTTTTTTTTTTATAAACATAGCAGTTTCAGAGAAACTGCTATGTTTATAATAGGGTTAATCCAGCCTCCAGTGGCTGTCTCTTGACAGCCGCTAGAGGTGCTTGCGTGCTTATCACTGTGATTTTCACAGTGAGAAGACCCAGCGTCCATAGAAAGCATTGTGAATGCTTTCCTATGGACTGGCTGAATGTGCGCGTGGCTCTTGCCGCGCATGCGCATTCAGCTGAAGAGGAGGAGAAGAGGGAGGAGAGGAAGAGGAGAGCTCCCCGCCTGCTGGAGAAAGAGGTAAGTTTAACCCCTTCCTCTCCCCAGAGCCCGGCGGGAGGGGGACCCTGAGGGTGGGGGCACCCTCATGGCACTATAGTGCCAGGAAAACGAGTATGTTTTCCTGGCACTATAGTGGTCTTTTAAAGTCAACCAATTTTAAAGAGGATAGCTTACTTAAATCAGGGGTACTATCTCACTGTACCTGCAATGGTAGCATATAGTATTTATATATATTAAAATTCTACGTGTATATTTAAGTAATATTTTAACATAATTATGTGAATTAATTACAATTTGATTGACATGCCTGACAACCCAGGCAGAAAGTGCAGAGAATTTGAATTGCAAGCACTATATTTAACCCTGTAACTTTTCAAGATACCATAAAACCTGTACATGGGGGGTACTCAATGTAACATTACTAATCTGGCAGTAAAAACTGTTAATGGGGGCTACTGTTGTACTCGTGAGTCTTTGCTGAATCCAAATATGTGCTTCTTTTGCAGTAAAAGCTAACAGTATTATGACATTTACAGCTAAAATGCGAGGCGGAACTACAATTTTAAAAAATAAATAAATACATTTCTCACTTTTTTGTATTTTAGTCATAATAAATTATGCTTCATATATTAATATCTGATATGAAATGAAAGCCCTGTTTCTCCTGAACAAACTGATATATAATAAGTGTGGGTGCATATAATATGAAAGAGGTGAATTACGGTTGAACAGACATATAGCGCAAATTTCAGTTTTTGTTTACATTTTGTTTTCATCAGAACGTGTACTATTGACTCCGTCCTGAAGGGGTTAAATATCAATGTTGTTTATGAATAAATATATAGACTAGGCAATAAGAGCATTTACATGCTATACCGGGCTGCATTCAGTAGGCTGCTGTCTTAGAGCCAGGAACTGATTTCATTAAAAAAAAAAAAGTTTTAAAAAGCCAACAGTCAACCACACATGATGGATGAAATAATTGCTTCTATAAAAACTATGTGCTGCCACAATTATGTATATAAATACAGATTAAGGAACAGCGCACAAGTAAAAATACAGTTTTTAATTTTATGGAATTTCATGGAATTAGTGGGAGATAGTGCTAGAGCTGAAAATAGCTCATTTTAATAATATGTAGTAAGAGCATTGTGAATATATATGAAATTAATGTGATATTGGAGAACCTGCAATATTCTAAACAGACATTAAAATGTCACTGACCGAGGACCTGGCACCAGGAGGGGGCCCGGTGGCTTGCCTGGTATGCCACCGGGTGCGAGGCTCCTCCTGGCTGCTGGTCAGCCACCGCAGACACCGATCTGCAGGTCCACAGTGAGCAGAGCTGCAGACCATGTGTCTCGTGAAAACCGGCCAATCAGAGTGTTGCCGCGGGTTACCACGGCAATGCTCTGATGGTCTCGCGAGATTACATGGTCTGCAGCTCTGCGGAGCTGGAGACCAGAAGCAATGGCCACCGGACCACCAGGGAGTAAAGGTAGGTTCTCTCTCACATCCCACCACCCCACACCACCGTCAGCCTCACCACCCTCAGCCTCACCACAACCCTCAGCCTCCCCACCACCCACCACCCTCAGCATCACCAACCCCACCACCCTCAGCCTCACCACCCCACTACCCTCAGCCTCACAACCCCCCACCACCCTCAGTCTCCCCACCACCTCCTTATCCCTCACTGTTGCCTCTAACCCCCACCATGCCCCTATCCCCTACTTCTACTAACCCCTACTACAGCCTCTACAGCCTCTAACCCCCACTACAGTTCCTAACCCCACACTACATCCCCTATCCCCCACATCAGTCTTTAATGCTCCACTACTGCCCCTAACCCCCCCACTACAGATCCTGTCACCCCACTATAGTTCTTAAACCCCTAATTCAGCCTTTAATCCCCCCCACTACTGCTCCTAACCCCACACATAAGCCTTTAACCCCCACTACTGTCACTAACCTCAACCCCTCACTATTTCCTCTAACCCCACAAAACAGTCCCTAGCCCCCACTATATCCACTAACCCATAACTAGAGCCCCTATCCTCCACTTCAGACCCTATCTCCCACTACAGCCCCTATCCCCTACAAAAGCACACGTTCTCACTTCAGACACAGTCCCACGCTATCCTATCCCTTTATCGCCCAAGTACAGCGCTTGTACTCACTTCAGCCCATAACACTTACTTCAGCCTCTATTTCCCCACTATTGCTGCTAACCCCCACTGCTGCCTCTGTCCCCCACTACTGCCTCTAACCCCCATTAGAGCCCCTCACCCCACTACTGTTCCTACCATTCACTACAGCCCTATCTTGACACTACAGCTCCTGATCCCCAACTACTACCGTTAACCTTTCACTACAGCACACAACTCCCAGCTAACTATACTGGGCTGAAGGACAGCTAACATGAGTCTCCCTTCCCATGTTGTACTAAATTGAAATTTCACATGTATTTCCCACAAATGACACATATTCACAGCGGCCCAAACTTATCACTCACAGCTACTAACACAGGGACACATACCAATCACAGCTACCAACACACATCCACACACATAATTTACAGCTGTACAAACATTACACACAGCCAGCCATATAAAGCACACACAGAGAGCAACAACACACACTTCACACACCACTACAAGATTCACAGCCACACTCACATCACACATCAGCATAAAGACAAAATAACATAGGGAAAGAGTTTCTGTGTGCACACCCTAATGATATGCGCTGAATCAGAGCATAAATAGATTTGCACATTCAGACAGAGCACATACAAGAATCAAGATGTACATGGGTCAGATCGTCATGTTTGGGCTAGCACTGCTTTTCACCTCTGTAATAGTCATCAAGGCACAAGGTAAGTGACATTATTGTGATTCAAATTTAATAGCTATTGAGTATTATGGTTACATATCATGTCTACAATGCTCATTCAATTTTAGTTGTTTGCTACAGGCTTTGAACTGCAACAATGGACTCTGTACCCCTGCTTGCCAAATTAAGACTCTATTACTTTCTTTTTTCAAATTCATCTGTACATTTTAGGTATATAAATTAAAACATGCTCAACAGGTCCTTCAGCAATTTCATGACCATGATATTTCTTAATTATCATGGACATGAAATTGCTGTAATGGTCAGTTTATCAATAAACTGAAAAATATACAGTGCCATCATGTCTCTCACTAAACTTTATTTCTATGACATCACAGAAATCATCTAGCTCCCTAACCTTGTAAATGGTTAAGGGGTCCTTTTTATGTTTCTGTTGAATTTACTGCATCCATGGTACATATTATGCCACCAAAGTTTGTGACCGATCTATATAATGGACAGTCATCCAAAGCTTCTCAAACTACAGCCTTTCTTGTCTAATATTGTACTATTTAATGGTTTTATGAACCAAATATCACCTGGTATTTAGAAAGTGAACTACTTGGATGGAACTTATATATTAAAGGGACACTATAGTCACCAAAACAACTTTAGCTTAATGAAGCAGTTTTGGTGTACAGATCATGCCCCTGCACTGTCACTGCTTAATTCTCTGCTATTTAGGAGTTAAATCACTTTGTTTATGCTGCCCTAGTCACACCTTCCTGCATGTGATTTACACAGCCTCCCAAAACACTTCCTGTAACGAGTCATCTATTGTTTACTTCCTTTATTGAAAAGTCTGCTTAATTTAGATTTATTTTTTTTCTAATCTCCTGCTCTGCTAATAGCTTGCTAGACCCTTCAGTAGCCTCATGTGTGTGTGATTAGTTCACTTTACAGAGCAGGAGATTAAAAAAAAAAAAAACTAAAGCAAGTTACTTCTGAATGAAAATGAAACTATTTTGTTTTCATGCATGCTGCTGTCAGTCACAGCCAGGGGAGATGTGGCTAGGGTTGCATAAACAGAAACCAAAGTGATTTAACTCTTAAAGGACCACTCTAGGCACCCAGGCCACTTCAGCTTAATGAAGTGGTCTGGGTGCCAGGTCCAGCTAGGGTTAACCCATTTTTTTTATAAACATAGCATTTTCAGAGAAACTGCTATGTTTATCAATGGGTTAAGCCTTCCCCCTAATCCTCTAGTGGCTGTCTCATTGACAGCCACTAGAGGCGCTTGCGTGCTTCTCACTGTGATTTTCACAGTGAGAGCACGCCAGCGTCCATAGGAAAGCATTGTAAATGCTTTCCTATGAGACCGGCTGAATGCGCGCGCAGCTCTTGCCGCTGCTGCGCATTCAGCCGAGGGGAGGAGAAGAGGAGGACGGAGGAGGAGAGCTCTCCGCCCAGCGCTGGAAAAAGGTAAGTTTTAACCCTTTTCCCCTTCCAGAGCCGGGCGGGAGGGGGTCCCTGAGGGTGGGGGCACCCTCAGGGCACTATAGTGCCAGGAAAACGAGTATGTTTTCCTGGCACTATAGTGGTCCTTTAAATGACTTGGAACTGAGCAGTGAAACTTCAGAGACATTACATATACACCAAAACTTGCTTCATTAATCTAAAGTTATTTTGGTGAATATAATGTCCCTTTAAGTCCAGTAGGGAAAGATCCAGTTACAGGTTAGCAGTATAAAGTAACCACTTATAATAGACTCATCCAGGATTTATTGTGCATTGACAAGAGAACACCCATAAGGTTACACATTGATAAAATGCTAATTCAATTGAGGGATAATGTTTAGATAAAAAAGTTATCATCCTCTCTGTCCAGGATTGTAACCAAAAGATAAAATAGACACCTACCAATTAGAAATTCTATGCTAAAAAGAGCATAGATATAACTATGTAATTGGGTGTGCTTAAAATGTTATCAACACTCCTGTACAGAGAAAAAATGAATATCCACTAAACTATGTATTTGACTAAGAAGTGCATATTTAGAAGAGTATAGTAAGTTGATGAGGCATATATGATAAGAAGCTTAGAGCAAATGATTTATTACTGGCATTTATAAAGCGCCAACAAATTGGGAAAAGACAAACACGATAAGAACAGACCGATACAACAGGTAGAGGACCCTACCCGTGTGCTTACAATCTGAAGGTTAAACTGTGGAAATGAGACAAGAGGTAGCAGAGGGATTTGTATGTGATTGCAGATAGAGTTAATAGTATAACTGCAGCAGCTGATAGCATATAAAGGGAATGAGGATGTGATTGGCTGTGGTTCCAAACAGCTGGAAAGTAATAGCCACAATGGCTCACAACCTATGAGAAAACACGCAGAAGTAATCAATTAGAGGTTCATTCTACATATAAGAAAGTATGAGCCTAGAGCATAATAATCAGTCAAATTCGTATCACTCCTTAGTTCCTCTAAAGTAGGAGGATGAACAAAGGATAGTATAGTGAAGAGGAGGCTAGATTTAAGATAGCTTGTAGTAGTAATATGCTAATACACACTCTGAATAATCTGATGGTTTTAAGACCTGATTACCCTAAATGTACTAAAATCCTCCCACGTGTAGGGTCATTGTATTGTTAATGTAATTTGTTTGGCTGCTGGTTGGAAAATTAAAGTTTTTATTTGAGCTTTTACCAGTTCTATAACACCTTAGAAGGCTAAGGACACTGCTGGTGATGGAGTTACACCTCTGGTAGCAATCTGCTATATCTCTATAGATATATATGTAAAAAGTTAAGTCTTATGTCCCTTTGTTCCAATATACAATACTTAATTTACTTACTAATGTATTTCATTTCATTTGTTGTATCAGTGAAGCATGGAACTTGCCCTCCTGAGAGATATTATACTCCCTCTACGGATATTCCTCATGCTTTATGCACCAGGGACAGTCAATGTGGTGGTGACAAAAAGTGCTGCTTAGATAATGGCTATACATTCTGCAAACCTCCAGCAAAAGGTGGGTAAACAGCAGTGAGAACTCACAGCACCCTTAAACAAACACACAGCACCCTCACACACACTAACAGCACTCACACTAACAGCACACTTACACACACAGCACACTTACCCACACAGCGCCCTCACGCACACACAGCGCCCTCACGCACACACAGCGCCCTCACACACACAGCACCCCCAGACACACACAGCACCCCCAGACACACACAGCACCCTCAGACACACACATATATAATATATAAAACAACCCTCAGTGAGTTAGACAAAGATAATTAGACACATATAATGTGATGGCAGATAAGAACACGCTCACACATACACAGCACCCCTCTTACACACACTGCACCACTACACACATTACGCTCCAGATACACGCTAGATCCCTTACCCAATTCTGGATCATCTAATCTACACACATACACACAGTAGATCCCTATATACACTCTAAATCCTATACACATACACACACACACAATCTCCTATACACACTCTGGGTCCTTTACACACTATATCCCCTACACACACACACACTGCACCATCTACACACACTACATTACTGACAAACAAACTCTGTATCCCCTATGCACACACTACATTCCTTGCTAGCAAACGCATGCTACATTCTCTAAACACACACTCTCTACAACCCCTACACACACTACAGCCCTTATGCACACACTTGATACATCCCCAATACACACTATGCCCCCTATACACACACACACACACACTCTACAGCCCCTAGTATGATACACTTTCCTAGCCCTTTTGTCCTCTGGTATCCTACTTATGGAGACACCAGAGACAAGTTAAAAGCAAACACAGCGTAAGCATGTTATTAAATTTGCCTGCGCTGCGCAGAACAAATACAGGGCCTTTTTCTCATGCTAGAGCTCATCAGCAGAGCTGTGCGCATTGAACTAAAATGCTCACTGAAAGGGGGCGCGCTGATCATTAGTGATGACAAAACAGACTGGCCCCGCTATGAATGTTAACTATATGTAACATTGCATATCAAAATGCGTCATGATAATGTATGGCATTTTCTTGTCAACAACCTATCTTGTTTGTGATATGTATTAAAAGAGAGATCTGGAAAGTGTCCCCCAAGTAAAGAAACTGAAATAAAGAATCGTCAGGACGTATGCACTTCAGACAGTGAGTGTGCTGATGGATGCAAGTGCTGCTTTGGTTCAAATGGAAAAACCTGTCTACCCTCTAATAAAGGTAACATTACTCTTTCCTAATCACAAAAACACTCATAATAATGTTACCCCTATTGTACTTTTGTACTTATTCATTCTACTCTTCTTCTATGCTTTCCAGATTCCTCTTTTTTTCTGTCTATCGGGTACTAAACATGTTTTGTTTTTCACTCCTCCCTGATATTAGTTGTTTTTTTTTCCCTTGTTGCTTTCCCCTTCTGTCCATTTCTGTAAATTCTTCCATATCCCTTTTTTTATTCCCTCCATCTCTTCAGTTTATCTCTCCTTCCCTATTGAAATCAACTGGTTTATATATTTTACGTGCTGCCCAATTCCTTTTCCCAATTTTAATTTCCTCTCGGCAAAGAACGTCCAAGCTAAGTGTCCACTATGCAGAAATTACATTTTGGAATAGGAATTTTAATATTTCCAGTTGATGTTCTTCACCAACATCCAGTTGATGTTCTTCACCAAATAAAATTTTGGAATAGGAATTTGAATATTACTAGTTGATGTTGTTCCCTGATTCATGTGGCCTTGTATTTGCTTATAATACTCTCAACTAGACAAGACTGTTACAGATATATTATAGAGACTGGTGATGTCCGTTCAGAAAAGGTTTTAATATTGATACATAGAGGTCAGTCTTAGCAACACAGCACCAGTACTACAGGCATGCAGGACAGTGCACAATAAGTACATTTTAAGAAAACAAATTAAAGAATAAGACTAAACCCTAAGAATGGGCAATTCTGGTCTTTGTAATAATGTGATGTGTTGTAAACTGAGGGCTAGTAATCAACTAACCCTTACCATTTCGGCCTAAAATTGTTGTAAATTCATTAAGGAATTGAAAATTTTAGTCCAAAGTAATCAAATGTGAGAAACTCAGCAAGTGCACTATATTTTTACTTTTTGGCCTTTAATGTAGTAGTTTTGGTGTAAAGACCCTGTCCCTTGAGAAATTTAAGACTGCCCAGCGGTGAATTACCGTTGAGTTAAAAAAAAGTTTAAAACACTTTTTTTTTTTTTTTTTAGGGGGGTGGGAATACTGCATGAATACTTTATTGTAGGGCTCGGGAGAGCTAATGGAAGCTACTGCTTAGTAATAATAACCCAGCTAAGAAGTCAAACTGTTCTAAAATCTTAAGACTACATACAGTGGAGAGCTGTAGTGTTCATAATGCTTAATGTTTCTTTAACTTATTGTGTCATGAAACGTAGATGGAGATGTGTATTCAAAGCTGGATATAACATACCTTAAAGCACCACTATAGGCACCCAGACCACTTCAGCTCAATGAAGTGGTCTGGGTGCCAGGTCCATCTATGGTTAACCCTGCAGCTGTAAACATAGCAGTTTCAAAGAAACTGCTGTTTACACTAGGGTTAATCGAGCCTCTAGTGGCTGTCTCATTGACAGCCGCTAGAGGCGCTTCCTCGCTTCTCACTGTGAAAATCACAGTGAGAAGATGCTTACGTCCATAGGAAAGCATAGAGAAATGCTTTCCTATGGACTGATTGAATGCGCGGGCGGCTCTTGGAAGAGGGAGGAGAGTTCCCCAGTGCCGAGGGAGCTGGAGAAAGGTAAGAGTTTAACCCCTTCCTCTTCAGCCCGGCGAGAGTGGGACGTGTTTGTTTTCCTGACACTATAGTGGTCGTTTAACATAACCTTACAATGGAGGCTCACATAACTGAACTGAAAAACTTAAGATGAATGGTTGGATGGTTGACTGGATGGATATTTGTTCTTCCCATTTGTGATTGACAGCCTGGCACCCCGACCGGGTACCACCATAGATCCCACGAACCACCGCAGCTTGTTTGGGGTCTCGCCGTCCTCCACCCACCATGGACCCAAGACCGGAATTCAGCTTCCAGTGGGTAGACCTCTCCTAGTCCAGAGTGTTACAAAAGACTGAAACTAGCTATGTTACTGTTTGCTAACCGATGGATACTGTTTGTCCCTGGCTAAGTTTAAAGCGAAAAGACGCACGAACGGATTATCCGAACCATTATAAAGGACTCATTCGTGGTACGAACAGGGGACCCCCCCAGAATTGGCGTGTGCCGCCACTTAACCCCGTCACCCCGCAAACTGCCGAACGCTCGACCCCCCAGCCAGCGGCGTGTGGCAACCATTAACCACCCAGGCAGCTGCAGTTTGCGGTTAACCACAATGTAATTGATAAGCCTGGGGGCATCGACGTTCGCCTCGAAATACCGAACGGAATCTACAGAACTAACAACCGAACGACGACCCCCCACCGTGGGCCGCGTAGCGGTCATTAACTTGTGGTTTCTGCGGTTAACCGCAGGTCAAGTACCCTGCTACCAGGTGGCCCCATTCCCTTACCGAACGAGCCCCACTACCAGACAAACAGCGGGACTTCGCATGAACTGATACCGAGTTTAGTTCCAGGAGTTAGACACGAAGTCCCGCTGCTCGCTAAATCAGCAGAAAACATGGCCGCCAACAAACGCTCACAATCTCAAAATGCCGAACGGACTTTATACAGCAGGAACAGTCCATTCTGTTCGTGAGATTAGAGCGCCATTCGCCTGTTTCATCTATACGAACGCGAGCCTTCAGCTGAATGGTAGAATGAATGGTTTTCCGATAATAATGTACAAGTTATGGATTTTTATACAGTTTTCTGGGACATAATAAAACGTGGTCTTTTGTGCGCTTGGAGATAATTAGATTGTAAAACCGTTGGCCTCATTATCTCCAAGCTGGGCGGGTAATAATTCAAATGATACAGTGTACTGTGATTGGTTACCTGTTTGTACTGTACCTGTATTCCATCAGGTCCACAGGGGGCTGTCCTTGGACCTGAGGAATTACATAAATTGCCATGCTATGTGCCAGTAAAGCCAGTTCGTTTTGACCCTCAACTTGCAGCCTCGACTCATGTTGTAGGGATCCGGGATATTGATGCCTATTTCGTGCTTAGGGATATTCTACACTTGCAGATTGCTACCGAAGGACCTCCGTTCGACTCTCTACAGCGGGAACCAGGACATCCAAGCGATCAACCCTCCTGCTAGACCGGGGGCAATTGTAACACAGAGAGCATAGCAGGAACAGCTCTTATAAGAGCTAATGATTATACTCAGGGAGTATTGTGATATACTTAAAATAATAAGGTGCGCTGTGTCTTTAAGACCCAATTATGACGCGTTTCGCCGTGTTCACGGCTTCATCAGATCTGATGAAACGCGTCATCACACAAGTTACGCAAGTTACGCACCTTACGTCACGCACCTGATGAAGTCCCTCCCCCCGGAAGTTTGAGGAAACAGACGGTAATAACGGCGGCGAACAAACAGAGGGAATAGTCGACACCCTTATGCTGCATATAACCGAACACTCTGAAACCTAATACTGAATGTGGAGGAAGGTGACATATTTGTGCTGTGCTGGGCAATAAATATTTTGGAATATTTTCGTCTGTGGAGTCCTATATTTGAAGAAGCTGTTAAAGTTAGAGCAGGCTTATTCTGCTCTACTTTTGTGAGTGCAATATTTGGCATTTATAATTTATATTTTATCTTTTAAACTATTTTACACTATTGTTTTTTTTCTGTTTCTCTCTTTTTTTCTATGTATATTTCCATTTGAGAGGACATATGTATGTATACTATTTTATATTAATATTACACACTTTAAGTGCACTTTGTATCACTTTGCACTTTATTACATAGTTTGCACTTGTTGCACTTTGTATAATTGGGTCTTAAAGACACAGCGCACCTTATTATTTTAAGTATATTCACATGAGTGTTTGGAGGAGTTTTTACATTTGTTTTTGGTGCAGCTTCATAATATATAATATTTGTTGGTTAGTTATATTCTAGACTATTTTATTACGAGTGCCTACTTTTTACTTGTTTTTTGTGTATATTTAGTATTGTGATATAGCAATCCCTAGAGTGAATGTAGTTCTCCAATCCCCCAAACATGAGCCAAGACTTCATGAAGGGGTAAACAAATCTCTCTTTAATGGGAGCCACACTTGGCCTTATATGACAATCCCCATGCAAGGGGTACGCCCACAGGGACCTAGTGGGGCAATGATTTGCAACTTCACAGACCAATAACAATAAGGTTACAAGGCACGCTACTCTCCTACACAGCACACAAACCCTCCTCTCTGCTTGGGAGATAAATGTTACACCCCCTGATATCCCTGATCTGGGTGACCAACATATTCAAAAATCACCCAGATCAGTTCAAGGGTTCAGGAATTTCCTGGAAATCCTTTTTTTGACCGACCGTGCACATGGTCCTATGCCCAAAACAGTTCCATGGAATCAGGAATAACAGTCGGTCTCTCTGTCTGCAGTACAAAAGTACATACTTCTAATGAACAGAGCCTTTTAAAGTGCATTGGGCAAGGTATATTGCCGGGCCCGTAGATCTGAGGCAAGAGGCTGGCCAGCAGACCCCTCCAAAAACCTGTGACAAGGTTCAGTTTGTCACACCATTCCTTTATCCACTCATTCAATCAATTCATTTCTCTCATCCTTAGTACTTCCACCACTTTCATTCAACACAATGTTTTGTCCTTACTCTCATATTAACTACAAACCACAACATGTCTCTTAAATTACACTCAAAGCATCATAATTAACCTAATGTAGTGGTCATATTGGCAGGAGTGTCCTTGAGTGTCCCGTGCAGCCACCCCACACTCTCAGCCAATGAGTTCTTCTCTTGCAAACAACTCACATCCAGCTTTGACAGCTCAAGAAGACCAGAAACAGTCAAAGCATGCTAAACTGCTGTGACAGATTGCAGTGGAACAGGACCAACCAGGGCACTACTAGCAAACTGTAGTTGTAATATTTCATTGAGAGTCCTTTAAATGTATGACATTTTGTTCTAGTTTACTCTTGCGTTATCGTTTTCTCATTATCTATGTCATAACTATGTCATCTACTTTCGTTGCAGTGAAGAAAGGTTTCTGTAGACAGCCAAACACTTTTCGTTGCTTGATAAGGGAGCGTTCCTTCTGCGAGAATGACAGTTCTTGTCCCAAATTAGAAAAGTGTTGTCCAAAAAATTGTCACTTCGAGTGCCAGAAACCTGTTTGAGGTAAATTATAATTACTTCCATTTTACACTCTATTTTTAAGTTGAATATCTCTAGAAATTTTACCAGATGACTGAGGGCTCCCATCAAAGGGGTACACACAGTACGACAATAATGGCCTTGTAACAATATGTGCTTAACCCCTTATGGACGGACATATGACATGTGTGACATGTCATGATTCCCTTTTATTCCAGAAGTTTGGTCCTTAAGGGATTAAGTTGAGAAGAAATAAATCTCTTCTCTAACCAAGCTGTAGAGAAGACTGTCTCTTTATCAGGCTGCCTTCAAATCTTCAAAATATATACAAGTAAAATTATGAAGAAAGGTCCATAAATGAACTGGAATGTTGACTTTTATGGATTTTGGTTACAATAAAGAAGAAAGGCCATGAGTGCCGGTAGGATATGTACGTATATATATATATATATATATATATATATAACTATTACAATTTGTAAGATTTAAATATCATTGTTTAGTGAATATGCGAGTGTGTATTTTGTATGTTGTATATTTTGGCCCCAGCTGCACCCTATAATGTATGCATGTTCAGGTGAGTGCAGCCCTCTTGGTTTCATTTATATATTTGGGAGTCCAGGCCAACTCCTTGGTTTTGCACCCCTCCCTGTCACAGGTGCCTAATTCCAGGACCCTATTTATCCTTGACTTGCAGAAAGTCCCAGTAAGGAAGTATTTCCCAAGTAAGTGGATTAATCTCATAAGAGCAGGCATTAGGCTGCTAGAGTAGGACCTGCCAAGAATCGGGTACATAGATGTTGTGGCAGGCTTATGCAACATATGATCGTATACTGTAACTAAACCCCCATTATTTTTTGCCTAGGTGAGGTGTTTTTAAATAAAACTATTACAATCTGTAAGATTTAAATATCGTTGTTTATTGAATAAGCGAATGCGCTGGATTGTGTATTTTGTATGTTGTACATTTTGGCCCCAGCAGCACCTTATAATGTATGCATGTTTAGGTTAGTGCAGCCCTCTTGGTTATATATATATATATATATATATATATATATATATATACACAGTATCTCACAAAAGTGAGTACACCCTTCACATTTTTGTAAATATTTTATTATATCTTTTCATGTGACTACACTGAAGAAATGACACTACAATGTAAAGTAGTAAGTGTACAGTCTGTATAACAGTGTAAATTTTCTGTCCCCTCAAAATAAACACAACACACAGCCATTAATGTATAAACCGTTGGCAACAAAAGTGAGTACATCCCAAAGTGAAAATGTCCAAATTGGACCCAATTAGCCATTTTCCCTCCCCGGTGTCATGTGACTCATTAGTGTTACAAGGTCTCAGGTGTGAATGGGGAGCAGGTGTGTTAAATTTGGTGTTATAGATCTCACACTCATACTGATCACTGGAAGCTCAACATGGCACTTCATGGCAAAAAAAAAACTCTCTGAGAATTGTTGCTCTATATAAAAATGGCTATAAGAAGATTGCCAAGACCCTGAAACTGAGCTGAAGCATGGTGTGCAAGACCATACAGCGGTTCCATAGGACAGGTTCCACTCAGAGCAGAAGTTGAGAGCATGTGCTCAGCGTCATATACAGAGGTTGTCTTTGGGAAATAGACGTATGAGTGCTGCCAGCATTGCTGCAGAGGTTGAAGGGGTGGGGGGTCAGCCTGTCAGTGCTTAGACCATACGCCACAGACTGCATCAAATTGGTCTGCATTTCTGTCGTCCCAGATGGAAGCCTCTTCTAAAGATTATACACAAGAAAGCCTGCAAACAGTTTGCTGAAGACAAGCAAACTAAGGACATGGATTACTGGAACCATGTCCTTTGGTCCGATGAGACCAAGATAAACTTATTTGGTTCAGATGGTGTCAAATGTGTGTGGCGGCAACCAGGTGAAGAGTACAAAGACAAGTGTGTCTTGCTTACAGTCAAGCATGGTAGTGGGAGTGTCATGGTCTGGGCCTTCATGAGTGCACTGGGGAGCTACAGTTCATTGAGGGAATCATGAATGCCAACATGTACTGTGACATACTGAAGCAGAACATTATCCCCTCCCTTCAGAGACTGGGCCGCAGGGCAGTATTCCAGCTTGATAACGACCCCAAACTCAAGACGACCACTGCCTTGCTAAAGAAGGTAAAGGTAAAGGTGATGGACTGGCTAAGCATGTCTCCAGACCTAAACCCTATTGAGCATCTGTGGGACATTCTCAAATGGAAGGTGGGGGAGCAAAAGGTCTCTAACATCCACCAGCTCCGTGATGTCATCATGGAAGAGTGGAAGAGGACTCCAGTGGCAACCTGTGAAGTTCTGGTGAAATCCATGCCCAGGAGGGTTAAGGCAGAGCTGGAAAATAATGGAGGCCACACAAAATATTGACACTTTGGGCCCAATTTGTGCATTTCCACTTAGGGGTGTACTCACTTTTGTTGCCAAAGGTTTAGACATGGCTGTGTGTTGAGTTATTTTGAGGGGACTGCAATGTTACATTGTTACATTGTTATACAGGCTGTACTTTACATTGTAGCAGAGTGTAATTTCTTGTTATCACGTGAAAAGATATAATAAAATATTTACAAAAATGTTCAGGGTTTACTCACTTTTGTATACTGTATTTATTTTTGAGATTATATATATATATATATATATATATCTATATATATATCTATATCATCACTTAATTTAATCGGTTTGTTCAGTGGTGTAATTTTCACCAAAAGTGATGGTTACCCTTTAAACTCATATTAACCTATAATTAATGGTAGTAATTTTTTTGAGAAACACTATCTGGTGTTTGGCATAAAAATAACATCTAAAGCAGTTGCTCTGGTTTGATCATTTGTAAAATGCTCTGATATCCATGATGCCAATGTTTAAATCTATGTTAGACTGACAGATTTTCATTCACTGATAATGTTGCAGCACGATGTTATCTTTTTCTGTTTTTCTAGGTTAAGGAATAATAATGTTGAAATATCCACATTTAAAACTATTTTCTTGAATGTCTAATCATAACCCAATGCCTTGAAGCGTGTTCATTCATGAATGATGAAAAGATGTTTAATAAGCAAAACGCCAAAACAAATAGAAAGTTAATATATCAAACTGCCTGTAAAGAATTCCTTCTGTGCCTTACTCTAACACCATCCCAGTGTATGTTCAATGCTCACCATTTGCATGACTTTCAAATTAAAATAAATAAATATCAAATGTCAGTGTTTGATTCTATTGTTTGTAACTCATTAATATAAACTAAAAAAAATAAAAAATAAATACTGTAGTTTGTCACGTACTGTGAGGGAAAAAAGTATTAGATCCACTGCTGATTTTGAATGTTTGCCCACTGACAAAGAAATGAGCAGTCTATAATTTTAATGGTAGGTGTATTTTAACAGTGAGAGACAGAATAAAAAATAAAAAAAATCCAGAAAAATGCATGTCAAAAAAGTTATAAATTGATTTGCATGTCAATGAGTCAAATAAGTATTTGATCCAGCATCAATCAGCAAGATTTCTGGCTTCCATGTGTCTTTTTTACAGGTAACAAGCTGAGATTAGGAGCACTCTCTTAAAGGGAGTGCTCTAATCTCAGCTCATTACCGTATAAAAGACATCTGTCCACAGAAGCAATCAATCAATCAATCATTCAGATTCCTAACTTTACACCATGGCCAAAACCAAAGAGCTGTCCAAGGATGTCAGGGACAAGATTGTAGACCTACACAAGGCTGTAATGGGCAACAAGACCATCGCCAAGCAGCTTGGTGAGAAGGTGACAACAGCTGGTGCGATTATTCGCAAATGGAAGAAACACAAAATAACTGTCAGTCTCCCTGAGTCTGGTGCTCCATGCAAGATCTCACCTCGTGGAGTTTCAATGATCATGAGAACAGTGAGGAATCAGCCCAGAACTACACAGGAGGATCTTGTTAATGATCAAAAGGCAGCTGGGACCATAGTCACCAAGAAAACAATTGGTTAAAACACTACGCCGTAAAGGATTGAAATCCTGTACAGGCCAGTCTGAAGTTTGCCAATGAACATCTGAATGATTCAGAGGAGAACTACATGAAAGTGTTGTGGTCAGATGAGATCAAAAGTAAGCTCTTTGGCATCAGCTTAACACGCCATGTTTGGAGGAGGATGAATGAGGCTTATGACCCCAAGAACACTATCCCTACTGTCAAACATGGAGGTGGAAACATTATGCTTTGGGGGTGTTTTTCTGCTATGGTAACAGGACAACTGCACTGCATCAAAGGGACATGTACCGTCAAATCTTGGATGAGAACTTCCTTCCATCAGCCAGGGCATTTAAAATGGGTTGTGGATTGGTATTCCAGAATGATAGTGACCCAAAACATGCAGCAAAGGAGTGGCTATAAAAATAGCACATTAAGGTCCTGGAGTGGCCTAGCCAGTCTCCAGACCTTAATCCCATAGAAAATCTGTGGAGGGAGCTGAAAGTTTGAGTTGCCAAACATTGGCCTCGAAACCTTAATGACTTGGACAGGCTCTGCAAAGAGGAGGTTGGCAAAATGCATCTTTGCCTGTGTAGCCTAAGACGATTTATGTAAGCAATCTAAATATCACAATCACTACTACCAAAGGAAGTCTAGCACTTCTTCTTTACACTTTAAAGCAACTCTGTAGCCAAAACAAAAACGTCTCCTCATGTTTCTATATATCTCTCTGTGTCTGTGTCTCTTTTTATTTTTTTCCTGAGTGCTCTAGTTTTCATTAAATACATAAAAAGAATTTGGGACTACTTTTCCTCATATGTAGCAGTCAGGTTGACAAAACTTGACAATGGGTGAGGCTTAAAGCAAGGGTCTGTTTCAGTTGCCAATCAAATATACGTACATGCAACTTAATGAGAATATCCTAAAGACCTACCAATGCCTCAGATTTATTTACATAACATCTGTCTCTATTTCTAATGATTATAAGGTTACAAGGTTACTGTTTAACATGTATAT